TTCAAAATAAACATAAAAATACAGTTGAAATTCCTATATGCGTTTCTTTTTTGGGAGAGTATATTTAGGTAAGAGCAAATTCCGACGCGTATTTGAGTCTTTGTATTTGCTCTGTAGTCTCCCGGAAGAAAGGTTTTGCGTTGTTCACTGTACAATTTCCATACTAAATGCTTTCAGTTAAAATCGATGACACTTTGATCAGTACCTACATGACCCTTTTGTTCAGTGCCAGTCACTCAGTGGTATCAGTAATGCAGCCGTCACAGAGGGTGGCCACGCGGTTTCCAAACACCGTATTTAACCGTTACCTTAGCAGAAAGAAACTCATCAAGAAACCGGATGTTCTGTTTCTGTTCACGGGAAGATAATTAAATCAGTAGATGGGAGAACAGTCATGTTGGTGTGTTTGTATAAAAATGCCATTAATGGGGTTATTAATGATACCGATTATGAGGCCACCGCGGAGGGGATGCTGAGCTCCTTACATCACGTTGGATCCCAACACGATGCGCATTACACAATGGTGTAAAAACCTAACTCTAAGCTTATTCTCGCGTTATATAACTCGAATCAGTAATATATACGGCAGCTAAAAGACACGCGGCCTGTTAAAGCAATGAACAGAGCGTCCCTTAGACCTAGTGATTACAAAGAAACACACCCTTCTGAGCAATAGTTAGGAAGCCTCCAAATGGTGTGATGTGCAATGGTTACACTAACCTTCCTGAATTTAGAATGTTTCGCTTTATTCCATTCTAAAGATAACGTAGCGCGTAACACCAGATGGTGTTCAACAGAAATAAAGTATATAGCTCTGAAGTAAGTAGTGTTACTAATTGTACATGTTAGGTCTTTTTGATAGCACGCCCATGTAGACACGCTCTGGATTTTGGGATCAGCGTTGTTACCTTTTGGTTTCCAAATACAAATAGTAAGTTGTTATGAGAGTGGTCATTGATTAAGTGATAGTTATTATGAGTCACAATGTTTAAAGTTTTGAGTGTGGGTTGTGGCTCACATCTCGCATCATATATGTTCAATGGCAATAGTATGTGTAGCGGTACGCCTTTTTGAGTTGCCTCTCTTGGCAATCTTGTTAATTTACGGCTTTCATCATGCCGTTTGTTCCACCGATTTCGTGAACAATCTGAGTGGATAATGATGCTGCCCAACTTTGCTAGAATACTCGAGAACTGTGTAAGAGCTATATAAAGGCTGGTTGTTGCGTTACACACACGGACTTTACATGACTGGAGTTATACACATCTGTCTGCCATCATCGAGCTGATATTTCTGCCTCCCGTCGTCAAGTCTGTCTGTCAACATTTCAAGACTGTGCTTGACTATTCAACTACTGTCATTGTAAACTACCTTCGATCTGCATAGCTGTTCTCGCCGTGAATGTCAAGACTCTGGTGAGTTAATATTTTATATTTGTGGCCCAATATTTTAGATTTGTGACTCAATTGCATTGTACTAGATATCTGTACTGCCATTCATTGTAGTTCGCTTATTGTTTGCTCAATATCTTATTGAATATTTTAGACTTGTCTGTTTTCAATTTTGCTGGTTCAAAGGGGACTCTTAAACCTTTTGTCACGGCAAATGTATTAACTAACTGTAACAGAATTCACCCAGAATTCATTGCAAAACCCACGAACAGCAAAGACATGATGTGGAATTAACACTAATGTGTTGTATTCTAAAATAATCTAACAAAATAAATTAATTTAACACATCAATGCACTTGAACAGGGTGGAAATATTAAACAATAGCAATAGTAAAAGCAATTCAGTGGTGGTAATATTCACCTACCAGGAACTGTAATAATCAAATATGTTGTTCATACAACCGCTCGTCTTGATGTAATGTCAGATGATAAAGAATTATGTGGTAGCTTTCTTCTGTCGGCTTAAAACCTTCCAGAATGTTCCATACCATGCCTAATAAATCTTTGCTGCTGTAGAAGCTGTCAGACCACTCTTGACTCCAAAAGTATTAAACACACCATGGCTTACACACAACAGTCAAATATCCCTTACAGCTAACTATTGTCAAAACACGATGATATGAACCGCTACTGAATCAGAAACAATGTAATACAATTACAACACTGACAACTAATTACGATGTACCAGCACAAAAGGTGCTGTTGACGAAACAGGTTGTGTAAAGTTGTGTTGAGACTTGAGGAGGATCTTTCCAACAGATTGTATAACATAGTTAACAATAGTTATGTAACTTCCCCTCTTCATCAATCTGATCATAGCACATCGGTGTTACCTCGGAATCACACTTTATTTGTGTCACGTGTTGAAACTGACATGCAATGTAAGTTTCTTTGAACGAAACAATGTGCTTAGGGGATGGTTTTAGGTCCAGTAGCGGAACATCCCAGTAGAGGTCATCAACACCAGTCTATGTGTCAATCTAATATTAAATATTACAATGCATCTATATTATACACCTCCGTGGTGTAGTGGTTAGAGCGTCCGCCCGGAGAGCGAAAGGTCGCGGGTTCGATCCCCGACCGCGTCATACCAAAAGACGTTAAAATATGGTACTTATTGATCCCTGCCTGGCGCTCCGCATTAATGGGTACAACAAGGACTGGTCGGCTCGGAGTCAGTATAATGTGAGAGTGGGGTATTCATGCTTCACTGTGGCATGGTATCTCAGTGGGCTAGCACTATAAAACCAGCTGGGCTGGGCTAGTACAAGCAGCCGCACATACACATACACACGCATGCACGTCGTCATATGAGCGAAATATTCTCAAGCACGACGTAAAACCCAATTTTACCTCACCTATATTATACACAGTAACAGTATTTGCTGTAACACATTATCAAACTGTACGACGACATAACTATCAAAGCAAAAGCAAAAGCATAAGTCAAAACTGGTGCAAATTATATGAATGGATCTCTGGAAATCCGTGAGTGAATGAATGAGTATGGGTTTACGTCGCTTTTAGCACTATTCCAGCAACATCACGTCGGGGGGACACCAGAAATGGACTTCACACATTGTACCCATGTGGGAATCGAGCCCGGGTCTTCAGCGTGACGAGCGGACGGTTTAATCACTTGGCTACCCCACCGCCCCGAGGACACCAAAGAGGAAAGCATATGTGGTCCTTCCGGTAGCAACAGAAACTCACACAATATGTCTCTTAGTGTTTGAGCGCCAGACGAGGTAACAACAAGTACTATCATTTAACTTCTCATGGTATGACGCGGTCAGGGGGTTCGAAACCACCAACATCCACATACGCCACACAGGCGTCCAGTCAAACAAAGAGCCATGGTATAAACACACCTACATGTAGCAGTATTGTTTTAGTACTTCCAGTATTATGAAATCGCTTCCGGTTGAAAGTCGCAAACTTTTTCTGCAAAGAGAATTCAGTGTTGATATGTGTTTGGTAATGTCGTCCATGTCATCGATACTCAATGAAGTGTTTTTAGTTCTCAATAGACTTGGAATTTCAACCTTCGAATCTGTTCCTCAGACGGTGGCAGTGACACAGTCATGGTTTTGAATATTGACCTTATTGCAATAAACGCGTATACGACATTTATCTTAAACAACCAAATATCCGGGAAATAACACAAGGTAGGCCTCAAAGCGGCGACATTGGAAACCAAACTGAAGGATTATAACGTTAGCAACGCTTTTTTAAGCAAATAGGAGCGACAGAACCTTTAAGTTAAGCATAAGAAACATATAGTTTAAGTTACATTGCACTGTCTTAAATGCATTGGTTCATGAACTACTATTAAATAGTGATGACAATAAGTATTCCTAAAAAGGTGATCGTATCCTGCCTCATCGGTGGCCCCCGATGCAAAACATGCAAATGCAAGTGTATGCTTCGCCTGTCAAAACAGGGGAATATATGGTACATCGCATCGTTAGCAATTGCATCGGGAAACATATATTGTTTCTCCCTTGCGGAGAATTTGGAAATGTCTTCCATACGTCATTTTGAAGGCTTAACCTTTAACTTATATCATTTACATTCATGCAACGAAGGCCAAAATCTTCGTGGAAGAGTATTTTCGAATCTATAGGTCAGGGGTTCGATTACGATAAGGTTTATATTGTTCTATGGTATATGAGTATCAAGCCAGAAACTTCAAATGCATTAAAGAGTATACGCTGTAACAGTAATCAGCAAAAACAGCACAGGCAGACGGATGAGTGGTTAAAGTCTTCGGACGTCAAACAGAAAACCCATGTCCCAGTTCCAGCATGGCTATAAAGTAAATTGCACGCACAAATACACCGCCGTGTAAGTCCAATTATCTTGAACGGGACGATGAACTCCATTTCAACTCAATTTCCTCCATAAACTGCTGCTCAACGAGACATCATGCCATGATGCTCACGGATGACATTTGAATGTAATGTACAATCCCAACAAACCGTGAACATGGGATATGAACTTCTGGAAACGCAAGTAAAATCTGTCAAGTAATACGTGTTATATTTGGGATTACACTTTCTCAGTAAAGTACAAATTCTAGTACTATTGTTTGGTTGAGTCCCGTCTGTTATTCGAACCCACACTCTCAGGAGGCAGGCACCTAACTCACTCAGCCATCGCGTCTTCCACAAAAATGGAAATAGGACAGCTGGTAGTCTAGATCACGGACTTTGTCTACCCCTCGTGGGACAATTGTAAATTGGCACGTCTCCCACGGCAGAAGCTATGAACCCGTACGCAATGCCATTTAGAAAGTGATCAAATGTTACACATGTTATATTTGGGATTACACTTTCTCAGAAGAGTGCAGATTATAGTACGGTTCCTGGGTCCCGGTACTGAGAAAGTGTTATCCCAAATAGAACATTTGACACCTTTCCAAACGTCATTGTTTAGTCCTGCAATCTCCCAGGCTTGCTTATCCAAGGGACGCAACTCGTGTGCGTTTCATATCTTTATTTCAGGGGGGCACTTTATGTTATGGAAGCAAAGAAAACATGCCCATCATTTACTTGTAAACCTATATATTTATTTCATAGATATTATATAAACTGTAGAAAATGATGACAAATAAGTGTAGCAATACATGTAGCAAACAATCACTTCACCACATTCAATTCACGTCACCTCAATCCAGGAATAAACAATTAGATATCAGATATATCATAATCTGTATCCTCTAGATGTCTTCTGGTACGCTAGAATAACTAAATATTGGTTTAAAATTTTAAAGATGCCGTGTGATAGATTGCCAATAAATTATTGTTGACGTTGTAATATACAAGTAAGCCATGGAGCTAAAAATTAGGTTTGTAATGTTAAATGGTTGCTAAATGAATGTGGATATAGTTATTTATGGAATAAACATAAAGAATTGTTGTCCATAAGTCAAACCCTTAAAGATTATGTACTTTCAAACATATCTTCCTTTTGTAGATGTCTAGCAAATGTAATTGCTATAAGCTATTCAAATATCATACATACACAGAAACCTATCTTTTAATGTCAATGACATTTTCTATGCAAATCCCAGTATCCACAAATTTGTCTCTCTATTAGGTTCAGTTAACATTGATGTTATACGAAATCTGTCGGTAAATATTCATCACGCCCTCAGTTAGAATTTGGTTTATTTTGTATGCAGCCTCTTCCTAAATATTGCAAGCCATGGTCCTGTGGCCACACAGTCTTTGGCTATAAACTATCTATTTCTGTAACTCGGTGGATGAAAAAAAGACCAAGGGCGATAATTTGGAAAGAACTTGGGTTTGGAACTTCCGCCGAGCATGTGACTAATTTGCGCACTAACACTCGGTATTGAGAATAAACACAATATTTAATGTTAAATATTATGGATAATGAATTAATAACAATGATAGCAACATTTTTAGTAAATCATTTACAAGTGAATAACGATAATGTGTATTTGTAATTATATATGACATCTAGGAAATTAAATCTTCTCCCTGGTACCGCGTGTATACAAGCACATGTAATAACTACGATATAATGAACTCTCAATATATTCAGATACTCTAATCAGTAATACTGCACAAACGGTGGGACTATTTTATGTACTATGTTTCATGCTCTGCCTCCCAATGTTTATCTATTTTACAAATATTTATTTGTCAAAAGGAGCACTTAAAAGAGCACTTTAAAGGAGCACTTATACAGCTGGTTGCCCAAACAGACATAATATATTTTTCTCTCAGTAAGTTACATAATTAACATAATTCCAGATGATACAATCATATCCCGTGTCTACTTATTGTACTGTATGAAGACAATTTGCCTTATTGATCAACTTGAAACTTTTTCTAAATCAGCTGATTGCCGAGTTTTTTTTGTTTTTTTTCCACATTTTTTTATTCACATCAGTAGGTACATTCACTCTATACAAAAGTCACACAGGTTGACAGGTGACATATCTTGTTACAATCGTTTTATACGAATATCATCCAAACAAAGTTGTATAATTGCGGATCGTCTAAGCTTGAGCAATTAGGTAAGTCGGTGTTATGAGTAATATTACTTGTTTGCTCCTGGGTTCATTTGGTTCGTTTTCATAATAGCACCGTATCCTTCTGGGTAACCAAGAGGTAGAAACATTCATACATTATTGTACAGATGTCATGCCTAATACAAGCTTGTACATGTTGACAGTTCACAACACATCAGTCTTCAAACATGAGTAGATACATTCAAGTATTACTGCGCAAGATCATAGATTGTATACATTGAAGAGTCATAACACATCAGACCATGTTGTGTAATGGGAGCCCGTTTACTGCACATTCGTCTGGCGCTGATTGCCGAGTTTCCAGTATGGTGTTGGTGTTGAGACTCGGCCTGAAACGATAAGAACACAGAACAACCATATTAGGTTATCTGCCTGATCTCTTATAAAGGTTTATGGGTGACTAAGTCGTCATTGGCGCTGTAATTCGTGCAGAGTTTCACTCCTTGTTCACGCCAGAATTCCATGATTACGGGGTTGCCAGTATTTGAGGGTTGTGACAGAAGTGTGACACGTCTGAGTGAGTGAGTGAGTGAGTGAATGAGTAAGTAAGTGAGTTATTTTTAAGCCGCACTCAGCAATTATCCAGCTATATGTCTTCCGCCTGTAAATAATCGAGTCTGGACCAGACAATCCAGTCATCAACATCATGAGCATCGTTCAATACAAATGGGTTACGATGACATGTGTCAACCAAGTCAACGAGCCTGACTACCCGATCCCGTTAGTCGCCTCTTACGACAGGCACGGCTTACTGAAGATCAGTTCTAACCAGGATCTTCACGGGTGTGAAACGTCTGAGACCTGCGTCAGTTCGGCCTTACTGCAACATTGAGTTGCCACGGTCAGATACAACCGGATTAATGTTTAAATAAACGTTTAAGCAAACTTTCGAGGATCAAACTGACGTGGCTTCATTTGGTTCAACATGGACTAAAGAAATGAGATCCAGTGAAACATCTCCAGTCCTGAGAGTACCAATGCGAAGGGCTTTATTCAGGTTAATGAGAATTGATTACGGATCAAAAACAATTTGCTATCAAAGCAGCCGTTCCAGACAGTAAACGCAGTGATGTTAGCGACTGTTTTATTATGTTCTGGTTCACTGTTCTTCTTGTATATACTTATACTTACGGTAACACCAGCTGCCGTTGAGTCTGAATCCACTACAACATGTTTTCACTTGCCTGTAACATGTATTCAGTCTGTACCTGAAACACAAGTAATTCGCACTCGTACAACATTGTCGTCAGTGAAACGGGGACTCCGTTCTTAGATGCAATTTACACACTATTTTAGTGTTAAATACCCTGTACGTTTGCTCTTTTAGTATTAGAGAGAGAGAGAGAGAGAGAGAGAGAGAGAGAGAGAGAGAGAGAGAGAGAGAGAGAGAGAGAGAGGGAGAGAGAGGGGCAGGCGGAATCTCAAGGAGACAGACATATGTAACTTACCGTGAGCATCGCCCCCATCCCCAGAATCCACAGCTGGTAGTGTATCGGCCTCTACACGTGTATGTCTGTGTGTCCAGACATGCCGGGCCGGAGCTGCTTGTAGGGGATGAACATCCGCCACATGGTTCTGAAAGAGAGGATCGTTGCTGATACAAAAAGTTAACCTTACAGTTATCGCCCCTATATCACCGTGGATACTCGGACATAACTCACAATGCTCACTTGCTTGAAAACGATGTTAGAACCAACACCGAAAACGTCGCTCTGACAGTAAGAAATTCATCGATGCATTGTTATCATTTGCTACAACTTCTAAATGCCTCTCAAAGAAGATAGAATGTCCAAAATTGTAAGAGATATAATATTCCTATAATACTGACTGACTGAGTTTGGTTTTACGCCGCTTTAGCAATATTCCAGCAATATCACGGCGGGGGACACCAGAAATGGGCTTTACACATTGTACCCATGTGGGGATTCGAACCCGGGTCTTCAGCGTGACGAGCCAACGCTTTAACCATTAGGCCACCTCACCGCCCCCCATCCTATAATAGCATATGTAGTATAATTATCATAATTATGAGAAGCAACTATGAGAAAGTATAAAATAAGTCAGAAGATGGTCAACGATCTTGATGCTCGAAAGGGTAAGATTTCAAGTATAAGATGTTGGATTAGGTGTGTTACTCTCAGTAATTGTCAGTGTTCCAACACTCAACCAGGAACTCTACGTATGTGCGTACAAATGGCGATTTCAGGGAGTCTGTCCCAATCCTCTATCGGAAATGGCATTTTATGGATGTTTTCGTACACACGCACGCACGCACGCACGCACACACGCACGCACGCAGTGTGGCATATTGTTAACATACTGGCATTTACGAGTAGTGGGGAGAGCTGGTGTTTGGTTTTATGCTACTTGATTAGTGTCTCAAATATATTACTGCTTATCAGCTTTTCCTGGATAAAACTCAAGTACCGACAGTAGAATTACAAACCAATCTTGTATTCCAGAGAGAAGCCATCTCGCCTGTACCCTGCATCTGTCCTCATTAGTATCAGCATCTCACTTCCATGGGACTTGAAATACCTTGTGGGTGTCGAATAACAGCAGTACCTGTAACAGGAAAGTATAGTGAATTTTCGAAATTCTTCAGAATATCACGAGAAGTCTGTGTGTTGTTATAAATGTAGAAATATCAAACCTTGGTCCTGCTCTGGCAAGATCAGTGTGTCTCACTTCCACATACTCCTGGCAGGTCCTGTGGCAGGGGAAGGAGAACTTTCCTTGAACCTCATCATGATTCTCTTTGAACTTCCGTGAACCTGAAATGGAATGTCATAGTTGATTCTTAGACTAAGAAAAACATGGATAGCTACGTTTCAGTCACACCATAGAGTTAAATAATTAATGGTAAAAAATAATCGAAATGTAGTTTAGATAGGCGAAACTAACGAAATATCTAAACTTCCGATTCTGTAGTAGTAGTGCAGTCAGCCTGAGGATGGAAAGCAGTTTTGCAATATGCATTATTCAATATCAATTTCCGTTACTCCTTTATATATAGAGATGCATATATGTTGTACTTGGAACAAGGAAAACATGTTTTCTAACATCATTTAAGTGTTAATGAAGGGAAATTACAGGTGTAAATTACGCACTGGACAAAACATCAATCAATTCATGATGACAAACATTCTAAAAATTCAAATGTTTGAGAGGCATTCTAGAAGTTGTAAGTAATAGGAATGACAAGCCTTTATGGATGATCAACTTCTTGATTGTGCAATAGCATGAAAACGGAATAAGTATATCTCTACCGAAACGTCGCTATTGAACAATAAGGAAGTTGATCATCCATAGAGACTTGTTATTCCTATTATAAAAAAATCACCTACTTTTATTCTCCATGTGCATTCGGAATTTTTTGGATACGTTGTCACTCCATAGTTTGGAGACTTAAGTGTCTGCCATTGTGAAGACGCATAAAGATATTTATTTCCACACGAAGCTGAAACAGAAATGAATTGTAGATCTATATGACCTTACGTAACGTGACAAAGGGATATACATAACACAGCTGTCTAGCACCTGTATCTTGGAGACTTGAAAATACTTAAATCCGCACCAGACACAATACAAACTGAAAGCATGAAAAACTATCACCGCCACGACAATAAAGATCCGGGTTAGAATTGATCTACAGTAACCGATGCTTGTCGTGAAAGGTGACTACCGGGATCGGGTGGTCAGGCTCGCTGACTTGGTTGACACATGTTATCGTATCCCACTTGCGAGGATTGGTGCTCATGCTGTCTGGTCCAGACCCGATTATTTACAGACCGCCTCCATATAGCTGGAATACTACTGAGTGCGGCATTAAACAACAACCAAACTTAACCAAAACAATAAAATCAGCTGAATCAAAATCTTACAGACATATTGCCATATACTCTTATAACGATCACTTGGCGTCACAGTCAACTTTAGTTTATAAGACTGTCAAAAACTGTTCTGGTTAAGTTTTGCTTAAGCAATTATTTTTCCTTATTACATTTGTGATCTAGCTGCCCACTATCTACAGCTATAAACGTTACGTGTAACTGAATATATAAGGTTACCTCCCTTCCCTGGTTTCACAGATGTGCAGCATGTCCCACTAAGTCCATCTGGGCACTTGCATCGGTTGCAGTTATTTGGATCTCTGTAACCTTCATGACTGCATGCCCGCCATAACAATCCCCTAGAGCCACAGGTCGCTGTTTAAGTAAAGGTAGACTTTACAGGTAACGTGTTGCAGTACCATTTTGAATATAACAGTAATGTTGATTAATTAAGAAACGTGACCTTGTCATTCCATTCACAAATATTGTTCCCTATTATACTCTACTGCTCACTGATTACATGAGTCCATGCAAACACCTTTTTATTACAACTGTATTCTAACCCATGCGCACAAGTAAAGAGAGACGTTGGTGACATCCTATATATTACTTAATCTGGCAAAAAAGAACCCGGGAAACTACACAAGATATAGTTTCAGCTGAGGCTGTATAATACCGTTTTGACATACCTTGGCAATAAATCAGATTCGCAAGTTTGACATCGTAGAAAGAAAGTCCGCTCCCGGTTCCCAAAGTCCTTTCCATATCGCTTTCCTTTGCTGTGATTGTTGGTTTGTTGTTCTTGCTGAATGCCTAGACAGTAACATGATAGAATGGAAATACACGCAAATTACATTTACAAAAAACAGAACAGGCATCTTTATAATGAATGTTATTATCTTATGAGACACAGTGTTTGCTCAGAATGATTTTGAACACAATATATTTTCTCTGAGGAATGTACATACATGCATACATACATACACACACATACATACATACACACACACATACACATACATGCATGCATGCATACATGCACGCACGCACACACACACACACACACACACATACATACATACATACATACATACATACATACATACATACATACATACATACATACACATACATACATACATACATACATACATACATACATACATACATACATATGCATGCATACATACATACATACATACATACATACATACATACATACATACATACATACATACATACATACATACATACATACATACATACATACATACATACATACATACATACATACATACATACATACATACATACATACATACATACATACATACATACATACATACATACATACATGATTCTTCATTTACCTTCATATAATGTGAATCAACATGAATACCTTTGTACTGTAGTGCATAACGGACGAATAGTCGTAGGGTATTCCTATCGATCGAGTATTTTTCCAGGATTCCCTGCCGAAGGCGTGGCTTCTGCCGGCCTTGATGTTTTCAAAGTAAACTGTGACGTATTTGTCTCGGTCTGGCCTTTCATGTTCGTGCCAGAACCCCAACGCGTGACCTATCTCGTGGGTCACAATGCCTCTCTGTGTGTGAAGAACATAAATACGATTATTTTTCATCAACTGGTGCAGTAGGTAAAATGCTCACATCATGATTTGGTATTATTGAGTGAGAAACGTATGAGGTCAGCAAGGTATAGATAATGATGCTAAACTTACTGTCCCACAGCCTGTACCAATTGATATTGTTTGGCCATTTCCGTGTCTGCCAATATAGGAATTGCAACTGGAATGAGAAAAAAATGAACAGTTGTTTACGAACCAGCTGAGTGTTTCAACCGTCCGTGGAATGATGTACTGTTAGAAGCGAGAAAATTGTAAAAAATGAAACATTTTGTATAGAAGTTTGTACGAGGTTCCAGCAGTTGGGAAATATATGTTTGTGCACAAACATTTTTTCTATAAAAATTCTGAAAAAGAGTAAAGTATCTCTCTCTATATACATAAACTATTGCTTATTGTGCGTAATAATGTCTTTGAGAAATAAAATGCTCCTAATTAGGACGACAACAGATGCTTTTGATTCGTCTCATGGTCTAGTAGAAAACACGTTTATACGGGAGCAGGAGGTCGTCATACTAAAACACGATGAATATGGTACTTGTTGACATTATGTTGTCGCAGATTTAGTATAACCGTTTGAGTGTTAAAGTGATCAGAAAAATATGAATCTGTCATTTATCTTGAATAGTCCACACATACATACACACGCACGCACACTCACACAGTACCGAGATGATTCTGTGAAAGAATCCATCACTTAACATACCCTTTCTTCTTCCTGAATATTAGATGTGGACCATTATATGATATGAATTGGACAAAATTTAAACACGTCTCTTCCTCCCAGTGACGGATGGCAGCTCGGATGGCATTCTTTCCAGATACATCTGAAAACATATGGAATTCATTTCGAAAGCAAGGATATAAAGTTATATCTAAGATTAGTACGGAATTACATTGGACACACTGCAACCTATTGTTATCAACACTCATAATTGACACTAAACAAAACAAATGCATTGTAGGGAGATTCATAATTTTCTGCGGTATTTACATGAATCGAAATCTGAGCTGATGATGTATGGAATGGTTGTGGACCACTGTCGGCTTAGCGTGGTCTTCCGCTTGCGTCTTGTACTGTTAAAACCACTTTCATAAGGGTTTTGTGAAAGGCCAAGGTCGCGTGTTTCTTGATTCATGTCCCTGTCCATTTCGTCCACATCCTCTTTGGTGAACACAATGTCGTCCTCAGCGTCAAAGATGTCTTCCAATGCTAAAGTTTTCTAAAAATGAATTACAATGATTGTTTCAGTTTTCAAACTGCCCTACTTTTAAATCAGAATGATTAGAAGAAGTGTATGTTCATGTAGTAGTCATGACATAGCCACTATAATATATATAACTGAATTGCAGCTAACCGTGACATGAAAACTATATGTCGTGGATGATATAAATGTACTTCACAAGTCCCAATAATGTATATTTTCTATTTGATCGAATGATTATATTATGATATCAACCTGTATAGAACATATCTATTTACACAAAATCTCAAATTTAGACCAAGGGTCCATGGTTTAATGTGTGGAGTTAAAGGCCTTTGTATTTATCGGAAGGATTGTTTTACCAATGTCTTATTGAGTCTGTCTGCAATCTTCTTTTCTATGCCTGCCAACTTAGCTGCGATGTACATTTTATCCGGCAGACTGTCATCCCCCAATATGCTTTGAAGTGACATCTGAAATATTGGCAAAATGATAAAGCAGACACCATTTGTTGTAGATATTTTGACGATGTACAATGAACGTTTGCTACACATCAAATCATGAATTACATGTTGGATACATGCAATCATTTAATGTTTATGTTTTCGGGTGAGAGGGCCATGCTTTCGAACAACATAAAGTACGGCGCCTTGGTTGCGTCCCTCAGCCTTATCAGCTTGTCTCTCCACTCGAATGGGTTTTACAGTGAGTGAGTTTAGTTTTACGCCGCATTCGGCAATATTCCAGCTGTATGACGGAGGTCTGTAAATAATGGATTCTGACCAGACAATCCAGTGATCAACAGCATGAGCATCGATCTACGCAACTGGGATACGATGACATGTGTCAACCAAGTCAGCGAGCCTGACCACCCGATTCCTTTAGTCGCCTCGCACGACAAACAAGGGTTACTGAAGATCAGTTCTAACCCTTATCTTCACCGATTGTTAAAAAGAACGCAGATGATAATGTTAGCATCAATCTAAACATGTTTTCAGTCATCGTTGCTTCTTGAAGCTAAGTTTTCAAATTTGTTATCAAAATATTTTATGTCCTAAAAGAGGCATTTGTCCTCAAACTGACCACCTCATGCTGTTAAGCGCCTCTTACGACAAGCATGGGTTACTGAAGATCAATTTTAACCCGGATCTTCACGGGTCTAATGGGTTTTACAGATGTGCATATACAAGGTGTGAATGCCATCGTGTTTTTTCTCACTGACAGTCACTGATATCTATGGACCCCAAACAGTTAATCACTTTTGATTATTTCGTTAAAAATATTCAAAAGTAATAATGAGAACATTACAATAGTTATAAAATAGCATATTAGTTGCACAAGGTGACAATACTGCCAAACGTGTAAGTCCAGAAACTCACCGCGTTGGATTCATCAACTGTGAATGCAGACAGGTTGATCGTCTGGTTGGCAAGTGTGAGTTGAACGCTGTCAGTGGCTTCCAGTAGAGTCGAGAAGTTGAACGTTTTTCCCAGAAGTTTGCTAACATCAAAACCCATCGTCGTTGACACAACGGTCGTTTCATCTTTGGTTCTCGATGTTGACGTGGATGTTTTCTCATCTTCAGAAGTAGGTTTCCCCGTTAAAGACTTGATGGCTTGCTCATCTTCAGCTTCAGAAGTAGGTTTCCCCGTTGAAGGCTTGATGGCTATCTCATCTTCAGCTTCAGAAGTAGGTTTCCCCGTTGAAGGCTTGAGGTCTGTCTCATCTTCAGCTTCAGAAGTAGGTTTCCCCGTTGAAGGCTTGAGGTCTGTCTCATCTTCAGCTTCAGAAGTAGGTTTCCCCGTTGAAGGCTTGAGGTCTGTCTCATCTTCAGAAATAGTATTCTCTACTGATGACATGATGGTTGTGGTACCCCCAGGAGCGTTGCTGCTGTTGTAACCGCGTACATTGTTCCTGGCTTCTCCAGTTGCTGGAACATACGTCAGGAAAACTAAGAAGAGCAGTTTTAGAGAAAACACCTCCATTGCTAAAGATCTAGCTGTCCCTGGAGCGATACCTGTACATCAGCTACATTTATATATACTCCCAGACCAGGATGATTATGTTTGACGTTCACTAATGGTCCAATGGTGATCGCTGGACATTGAAAGAGACTCATTGAAAGGACAAAACCCCTTATAAAGTATACACTACCATGCATGGATAATCAGTTAGCTATTTTTCTCGATGTAGGATTAATTTCAAATGCAACTTCCTGATTCGTGATAAAACGGGTTCGGGTTGAATAAATCTACAGTGGTCATATATACATCTGATGGTAGTGGATGAATCATTCGTTGGAATAGTTTTTAAAGTGGCCGAGGTTCATTTAGTACCTCTTGGTTATGTGGCTCTAGCATGTTCTGAGTAGAAACGGGAGTAGCAGTGTGGTGTGTCGTGACGTGCCCTCTGTCAGTTATAACTTGTGATGAGAAGCATGTTGAGTATCTCAAATAGCAACTCTGACGTATTATAGTAGCAAAAATCTTGACATGTACACAGAACAATGTGTGCAACAAAACACAAAAGGACTCCCAACACCTTTTGAAAACATAAGCTAGACGGTTGTGCAGTTTGTGCAACATTCCGCCACAACGTGTGATTTGAATACACAATAAAGTGGCCATCTGTAACATACACTTTATCGGTAAAGCGAAAGTTTTAGTACTAGAAAGTAAAATTCCAAACATATAATTATGAAAACATGTTACACCACATGCGGTGCTATACTCTGTGGATGTTCTGGTGGCAATGAGTACAGCCGTGATTTACGGCAAAGAGACTTACGGGTCCGGGTGAGTTCACCGGCATTTGCAATATGGGATTCGGTCGGCGTAAGGGCTCACCTGATGCATACAAATAAATGCCACTTTGGCACGTACGCAGGCAAGCACGTATGCAAGCACGATCCTTAATAGCAAAAAAACCGACTTTCTATAAACTCAAAGAAAGTATTTGATACAATTGGAATTGATAATTATAATGTGGATTCTTAAAAATGCAAATGATCAGCTTGAATTATTACCATCTTACAACAGGATTATCCCACATGACGAAACAAACGGCCGTCTTTATTCCTTGATGATGAAAAAGTGGTGAGCATAGATCTGGTTACATCTTTTTGAAGATGTTCATTTCAATGTGTCAAAATGTTATAGATATGTCATCTGAATATTTTTATTGAGAAAAGACTGCGTGAAATGTTTGACCTACGCACTGAGGGTGAAGATGCAACAAGGTGCAAAGCGACTATTTTATACGTATTTTCAACCTTCAAAGGAACTATTCACAAGCAGTATAGGAACAGATCATTTTTCCGTCACACCTAATATGGATGAATATGGTATGTCTGGACACCAATAACAGTTTCTAAACTTGTTCCTTCATCGGGTGAAATTCCAACGTGTCATGTCGTCTTCGAACTTGGGATGGAGATACATACTCCCGCGTTCTAAAGCAGAGCAAAAAAACAGAGTTACATCCCTTTGAAGTTCACAAATCCGCTTGCCGATAGTTCTGTTCAATGGTTTGGTGTGTGAGGACCTGTACTGTTCAGTCTAATAGTATTTATACCAGTTTTTCTTCCTTTTGTCCCACACACCGTAACTGAAACACTGTTACAAGCAGAGCTAGTTACTATTGAAAACTGTTCGTCAATCAACCCTGTCAAAACTGACTCGCGGTGACTGAAACGGACGGATACGGTGTACTATACTGCAAACAACTCTAAAAATACGTCATTTGATGGCCTGCAGTTACTCAAGACTGCGCACACGCGTCTCAACTCTAAAGAAAAGACACTGTCTTTTTTCAAATACAACATTTCTTAACTGGCGATTATGTTCCTCTATTTTTGGTGGCTTCACGATGGCTAAGTGGGCTAGATCGCTGACTTTGTGTGCAGGCAATTAAATGCCTTACTCTGATAGTGCGGGTTCGAATCAAGGATGGGATTACTAGAATCTGTTCTTTACTGAGAAAGCATAAAGAAGTATCTATATATTAGCCCCAAACCTCAACTCACAATAGCCAGCGACACAGCTTAGCTTGGACCCACAATGTTGAATCTGACGTGAAGCTGAACAAAATTAAAATGATTGCATAAATCAAATCCTATTTATTGGTTTATGACATTTTGTATTGACATTTTGAATATATTCATCATTTTACGAACAACGAAAAACTATGTAACTACCTATTTCAGTTATGTTGTGCTATATTTAAATAATTTTTTGTGTCTAAACGCAGAATATAACCGATTAGGTGGGAACATTTAGCCCAGCTCGAGGATTTCTATTTTACGAAAGTCAGCTATAACCGCTGTGTATGGTCAAACAAGGTATGTTTTGCCCTTAACAAATTCTAGACATTCTCAGGAGTCAACATCTTCTACCTATAATAGCCCAGAGCAAAACTATAGTTTATTACATTATAAGTTGTCGATATAAATGTTCCAAACAGGATGTAAGACTGTGTTCGAATGTTAGCAAAACGTCACATTCTTCACATCAACAGAAAAACATGAATAGGGTAGACACACAAAGATCTGTTTGTGTGTCCCTGTCTTAAGACGATCGAGTACTTAGGTCGCAGTATAATGACGGCTCAAAGGCCTTTTCACATTGTGCAGCTGGCATGTGACTTCCCTGTACTTCCTGAAAACCCAAGTATTGTGAGTAACAGTGTAGAAGGTATTCGTTGTTCATACCCTGGGAACATGTTGAGTAGCAAGAGCAATCCAAAATTACTGTTTCAGTTAACGCAGCTGTTCAATCAAACCGAGTTCCTAAAACACCCCACCATCACAATAGCTGTGGTTTGACTCGCGACATATGTATACCTTTCCAGGTTCATTCCGTGATACATCAGGAATCTTGTTATTAAGAGCGTAGCACATGCATACTGAATAAAACATTTTACTGACTCATAAGGAACTAGGCAGTATGATCTTGTATCAAGTCAGGAAAATGCCTCATTGGAATTGCAGGGCAAGGACCCAACGGCTTCAAGTGCATTTGTTTAACTTTGACTGATGTATTTTATATAAGATATTGATCGATATTTGATAATTAGCACGAGTGGGCGACGGGGCAAGTGGTCGGTAGCTGGGCAATAGTGACTAGGTGCGCCTTACAATCAGTTGTGCCTCTTAGGCGTGTACACATCGTTACTATGTTGAATACCATGACCAGTATACACATAATCTCAGGTTTTCACATACGGTGTAATGTATGACATATAAACCTGATATATTGATCTCATCTAGAGCTTTCCAGGATACGAGGTTGGTTCTTGTGTCTTGATCTCTTCTGTGTGGACTGCTAGTCATTCCCAACTTCCATCACCGCCTTATTTTTACACCATTTCAGGTTTTCCTCCCACCCTATTGCTGGTCAGTCAATCAATTCTTCACGGGCAACATTTACTGTGTATCCTTGAAATACTACCATAAGAGGCAAAGACAAGAAGTAGAAGCCCTCACCACATGTTTGTAACGGTTTGTCAACGTACAAAATTTAAATTTAAAACAGTATATATACACAAGCTTACTGACTATTTAAGTTGGCCATACTAGGCTGGGGGTTCCCAATATGTCGTCCTCCAACATCACAGAGAAAGAATATTGATAACAACGACGTAAAACCTGCTCAACCACTTCTGTCGTTATAACAAGGTACAGAGCTACCATACAACTTTATCATTTCATAACTTCACTATCTTCTAAAATTTCAAAGAACGTCTTAAAACTATCATTTACATCGTGTTTCTAGATGTTTCATGGGCATTTAGAAGTTGGAAGGTAACATAACAACGTATGGTATGGATTTACTACTTCTTTATTATTTACAGCACGACTTGTCTGGGCTACTTCTTGCGCATCACCGGAGTAAAACGTTTTATCTCCCTGATAAATGAAGAAATGAACAAGAGTAGCTAAGAACAGCACAAATGAGCCACAACACAAGTCAGATCAGAAGGTCAGTAGCGAGTATGTACATGTCCACCATGTGCATTAATGCAGGCCTGTCAGCTCCGCCTCATTGAAGGCTCAAAACCTGGAGGTTTTATCAGCCTGACAGCAGCTACGTTGGATGATTCGGTTGCCGGCTGGAACCTGTATCCATCAGTCGTTACTGACTGGCGACAAGCACGGCGACAGCCTATAACTGTTTGTTTTGCTGAACACTTCGCCATAAGTTCCAAACGGTGTTTCTATGAACGTTGAATCGAGGAGTAACGTCACGCTGCGAGGTACTATACTGATGCATACCGAAAGTTCTCCATCTGCTATTTTCCCCAAGTTGTCACATGTCGATCTTGCTCCAGAACAGAGGCGTTTTTGCCTGACTTCTTCTTTTTATAAGACTGCATCATGTGGAAATGATAAACGTCAGCTTGTCTGACCTTTTAATGTTAACAGTGCTTGCCATTTTTCTCGAAAATGTCCCTCTTCTTGCAAGTGTTTTGCTTGGTTGCGTTTGTTAGACTGTTTCAAGTGATTGTCGCATTGTCATTGAATAGCATCTTGTGTATTTTAAATCAAATCGCAATACCGCCGCCATATAGCTGGAATATTGCTGAGTGCGGCGTAAAACTAAACTCACTCGCTTACTTGCTCAAATCGCAATACAGATGCATTCAAGCATAGTTAGGTGTGAGACGGGATCGTTTGGGTACATTCAGGGTCAGCATGTACTTCCTTGTTCTTGGATGTCATCGCGTCCCACGAAAAAAATAGGTTGTAAGAATATGATTGACGGCTTATACCACTGTGAATACCTGAGTGAGTGATCATGTATAATACTCAACTAGATATAAAAATTACAGTATTCACTGCATGTAAAACCAGCACCCATTCAATGTTGTAAGGTGATTGAGGACAGTGCGGTACTTCCCCTCAGTAATACCACAACGCAGAACAAGACAAAGGCCGACGCAGGCGTTATACAAAATGGATACAATACTAATATCAATCCATTTATCATGCGCCAAAACAATCTGATTATTATTACCCCGGATAACCCAAGCTGCCTGTGAGGCGCTAGAAGGTAAGTGGTTACATGACTAAT